CCCCCCCCCCCTCTTCTGTGTCCACCTTGTTGAAAACATTCAGCTCATTTCAATTTGTTAGCAAAGAATGTAATTTATCTTAAAATGACTTAAATACCCTAGATTTAATAAACCTATATTTAAACCTATTAAATTCAGCTTTGATCACAGGAATAAATTACATTTTAATAAAAAATATTTCACAATATTACTGTTTTTGCTGTATTTTGGGTCAAATAAATGAAGGCTTGGTGAGCAGAAGATACTTCTTTAAAAAACATTAAAAAATCTTACTGATCAAAACCTTTTGACTAGTAGTGTATTATTAAAACACAATTTCTAAAGTGCCTAAATGTCAAAATTAGTACAATATATTTGTTGAAAAAGTCTAATACACTATTGAATTATTAGGATGTTAGCCTATGAGTAGGCTATTACTTTTGTGTTGCTGTCTGCTCTAGCTCCCTCCCTCCCTGTACAATAAATCCATGTGAATATCTGTCTCTGCTAAATTTGTTAATGTAGCTTTACAATCGATATTGATGTCCTTTAGCACAGCATTCTGAATGATGATAATAATGGGGTGCTACTGATAGCCTATTAGCAGTTTAATACTCAACTATGTTAATAAAGACAAAACATTATAACAGCGCTGCCAGTCAAGACTAACCAATTTATGATTTATTATCGAATGAAAAAATTTACTTTGGTACATTCAGAAGGCATAAATATAAAATATTATTAATAATAATAATAACTAAAAAACAACAACAACAACAACAACAGGACAGCGGGCCAAATCAGCCGCCAGGCCACCGGGAGCACCGGGAGAATGCCAGTCCGGGCCTGGCAGGAATACACTGTACAAACACGCCAGCAAACACAACCAGGCTCTAGGACCCTGCAGCACTCTGATGCTCTACGAAGAGAGGGGCGAAAGTGGGGGGTGGAGTGGAGCGCAAAAAGACAGTGGAGGAGGGAAAGAGAGATGTGGAGAGAAAAGAGGAGAGGAAGATGCAAGGATCCGCTTCGCTGCTGTAGTTTGAAAGTCTTGCCAAGGGGACTTAGAAGAGCATTGGTGGTATAAATACCCAGCATAGACAGGATTAAAAGAGCAACTACTGACTCCATCAGAGAGGTGTGAAGTGAGAGAGACAAGCAGAGAGAGAGAGAGAGAGAGAGAGAGACACTGTACAAACACGCCAGCAAACACAACCAGGCTCTAGGACCCTGCAGCACTCTGATGCTCTACGAAGAGAGGGGCGAAAGTGGGGGGTGGAGTGGAGCGCAAAAAGACAGTGGAGGAGGGAAAGAGAGATGTGGAGAGAAAAGAGGAGAGGAAGATGCAAGGATCCGCTTCGCTGCTGTAGTTTGAAAGTCTTGCCAAGGGGACTTAGAAGAGCATTGGTGGTATAAATACCCAGCATAGACAGGATTAAAAGAGCAACTACTGACTCCATCAGAGAGGTGTGAAGTGAGAGAGAGACAAGCAGAGAGAGAGAGAGAGAGAGAGAGAATAAAGTGTAAGCATCAGGAGCGGTGTGTACTGCAGTGTGTCTGTACACACGCAAACAGGAGCTCGCTTTACTACAACACTCAACTTGGGAGACAAGAACTGTCACTTCTCAACCAGCGTCAAGTGAACTCTTTCACTCGAACACCATCCTGTCCTTCTCTCTCTCCTTCAGACACGCTCGTACACACAAATGGAGAATATGTCTTGGTGCTGAAGTATTGCTAAAGTTCATACTGGGCCACTGGATTCATCTGTTTTGCTCTACTGGTCCATCCAGTCCCACTGGACACGCACCCACATACAGACACCATCACAGAGTTCAGGATCAGTGGAAGAGGTAGGTTTTGCTTTTATCTTTTGTGAGAAAAATACATTTTAATATTTTTATTTTTAAGTAGTAGTAGTATTAATAATAATAATAATAATTATTATTATTTATATTAACATTATTAATATTTTTAATTTTAAACAAACATTTCATTTTTATAATATTTTTTTAAATGAAACAATATTTAAAAAATGTAATTTTATATGTACATACTGTATGTAAATAATATTTAAAACATTGTAATATATATGCATAGTATAACACACACACACACACACACACATATATATA